TCTGTGTGATGTAGCTTTACACCCAGTGACCATGACCCCTATTGCAAGACTGTTGCACAACTCTAGTTAAATTTCAAAGTTTCTTCTACATTTCAATTGCCTCTTTATAATGGCTATAGTGCTTCTCTGACATCCAACTGATTGGTCACCATTAGCCTTGTTTAATCATGATAATCCCCTCTATATCTTTTCCAGATGTGGATGTTGGGGATTAATGCTCAATTTTGTTTTCATAAGATACTAAACTTACACTGAACAAGCCATCAGTTTGTCTTGGAAGTCAAAAAGCCAGAGTAGCTGATCCAGGACATCGTTTTTAGTTAGTTCAGGATTGTGCTGCAATGCAGGTTTACTGCTTGAATCCATCCCCAATGCCCTCAATATTCAAGACGCTCTTAAATGCTAGATACAGGAAAATGGTTGCACTTTTTGGTTGCAGCACTGTCCTGCAAATTCTATTAATGTTGAAGCCTCCCAGCCTCACTCTCAACATCATGACTAGCATACAGCCCAAGTGGATTGCCAACTACCAGATTTGTCTCGTTAAACACTAGCATTTTATCTAGGACAAAGCTTCCTCTGTCCCATATCTACTTGATGATAAGAGTGATGTACTTAAGATTTTCCTCATCAAGGCAATCCAGATATTTAAGCATCACATTAAGACAATTAGGCATTTCAGTGTTTGTGCTGTGAAGTTCATGACTTGCTCTACTGCCCTGGATTCCCACACGTTATGTTTCACTGGTTTCATGTCAAGGATTTTGCCCTTTCAAAAGAACAACTTGTTTAGAGAGAACTGACAACATACTGAGTCACATAACTCTATTGGGTTATGTATGGGCATTGTGCAGTCTTTCCAACCTTATATATGGAACTGTCTGCAGTGGGGGAAGGTATGATTTATGCCTTCCAGTCTGAGTTTAATTGCAGAACGCTTCTTGTGTCTTGTTCTAAGAACACAGTCCCAGACCTCAAATAGCAATTTTAACTCCCTAAACATGGACATATCTACTCCAGAACTTGCCTCTCTTGTTTTCTTCATAACAATAGGTGTATGGATTCCAGTTATTTTTCACTGTTACCAATATGCACCTCATTTCTCCTGCCCCCTGAGATAACTGCCTCCTAGTCTATCAAGACCAGCATTACTTCAGGAGGTAAAGTTCTGCTCTACAGATGACTGCAAAGTGAGTCTTGCTTCCTCAGGCCATTTCTGACTTACTCCAGACATAGTGCAGCACTTTTTGCAGCCTAACTCAGCTCCAGTTGAATGTAAACAGGCTACTCATATTATCACAAAGGCATTTACGAGGGTAATTACTTGTCAAATCATAAACAACATTCCATTCTTCCACCTGGGTTTCTAGGGGCAGGCAATAGCTATATTCCAAATCAACCCAAAGTTTCACTGAGTAGTTAATATTGGAGATCAAGTTAAAGGAGCCAGATGGTAGGTCAAAGAAAGGCACAACACAAAAAAAACCCAATGCTGAATACCCTGCCCCTCCCCCCCCAAGGTTGTTAAATATCCTTTTCATCCCCCATCCAATGCAGCTGAAGCTGAACAGCCCTGACTGACTGAGTTCAAATTTACTGAGTTCAAATTTTGTAAAGTCTCACCTTCCATCAGGGTGTTCCTTTGCTTGCAGTCTTCTCACTCTCTGCATGTAACAGTGATGATTTCAAGGATTAGGACGGCTAGACTGTAGTTCTAGGTCTGAATTCTCTGTAAGAGAGTTGGGTGGCAGGACCTGTGTATGTTTTTTTTTTCTCTTCTGGTATTGGGTTTGGTTCCTAAGCTTCTGAGCTGACAGGTTCATCTGCTTCTTCATGTGCTTATGAAGGTGGTGTGTCCAAATGGCTGTGACAGCATGAAATAAAACTGAAAATTAGGGATGTCCATACCTATTTATTTATACTGAGGTAAGGTTTCTGTTGCTATAATTCTGTCCCTCACCCCTTTCGACAAGTGTTAATTCACTTCAATATACTTTGCTGATGCTTATTTTCCTATTTCTATTGCCTTCAAACACCACCAATACTTAACTATGTCCAGTTTGTAATGCTTCCTATCAGTTTCAGATACTTCCATGGCAGTGGCTCCCATGACTTCACCAAATGTCTGTAGTAGTGATGGGGCTCCCAGATCTGATTTAAAAAGCTTTAATTCAGGTTTAACAAAACATGAAATAATATATATTGAGCACAGATAAAGCATGTTTTATTTGTTTGAGCATGAATTGTTTTTTGCAAAAAGCAGGAAATGCTTCAAGTACATTTGTTATTAACAGTACACTAGGCTGCTTTAAAAAAAACTTTTTAGCTGGGATAGATTTCACTGGTAATTTTTGTCTTCAGAGCATTAAATAATATATATTGATCTCAGAATGTATACATGATATAATAATATACACATTCAGAAGAAATGTGGAAAGATACAAGCAACAAGTATTAATGACTACTGAGTATGTAGGTTAAAGTAATGTTTCTTAAAGATAATGGAACCAGACTAAATCAGACTTCCAGTAACCTGTCTGAAATCAGTGGACTAATGATAATATTGATTCCTGTGGGTCTACTACAATTATTGCTACAGTCAGCTCTTATTTTTATGGTGCTCTCTTTTATGATATAAGTTTGGAACCAATCCAATAAATGCAAACTGAATGAAAACTTATTAGAAAGATATATATCTTATCATTTGGCATATAAGATTTATAGTACATGATAAAATGAATGTCAACACTGACAGTGTTTATTGAGTTGAACATAAATGGTTTGAATTCAGACTATTGAAAGCAATGTATTTCAGCACACTTCAGGAAAAAAAACATAAAGAATTTGGAAATTAAATTATTATGAGCATGTTTAAAGGAGCCAGATAAGCACCTTTTCTTTGTATCATTGCAAAAGCACATATTTCATACTATATAGAAAACCATCTCAGATTTCTTGAAGTTTTGGAAAAGTGTCTTGTCTTGCTTGGTCAAAATCCTGTTGAGTGCAAACAAGTGAAAGTTTTATTATGCAATTTTAGAGCCAATCACTAATATGGAGAAAGTTTTTAATACATGCAATATTGCATATAATTTTATTTTGTCTTGAACTATAAATGTTTTTGAGTAGAAAGTAATCTAGAACAACCTTCTTAAATTCGTGTACCTCATCTTCCCTCAACCTAGTCAGCTTCTAGGATGAGTAAGGCTGGTCTAGAATATATATTGATGGAATAAAAATTTATCCCAGTAATGATTTGTTTTCCACTGAAATTTTTATTTCATTTCTAAAGTCAATTCTTACTTCCCCAAGGTCTTATAACAATTTGTTAATTGGTAGGATATATTTATATATATATATGTACTATAGTAACTATTTAGTTTTATACTTTAACGTTATATATTGTATCAAGATTTAAATATTTAAGTTCTCCCTGCCATGCAGAGTGTGGGCAGAAAGTATACAAGATTAAAATAAATTTAAATACAATAAATTCAGCATAATGCTGTACATACAACTTAATATGCTATCTTATTTTTGTAGTTCTTTAAAATGCTTTATTAGCATTACTAATTTAGAGATTATCAAGATATTTAACATTATATTCTTTTCTAAATGCCATGCTTTTTCTCCACTTCTATGGATTCATAGATCTATTTATTAAGTTTATATCCCACCTTTCTCTTTATACAAGACTCAAGGTGGCTCACAACAATTAAAATTCAAAATTACAAGAAAAACAATACAATTAGAATCAAGAAGAATTAAAATCAATGTCATTAGACTTCCTTGTTTATTTCTAACATCTGACATACAAATAAAATGCCTGTAAACATGGAAGTTCCAATTAGATAATATGGCCGATATGCCAGCCATGAATCTTTGCTGTCTAATCATTTCCCCTTGTAAAGTCATCCAAACATGTTGTGACAATCCATTCCACAAATGAAGAATTATGGAAAGGACTTACCAGGTTACTACTGTCATTGGTTATCCTTCCATTGGTAAGAAAGCATTCTCTCTGTTTCCCATTGTTTTTTTGATTTCAATAGTCCCTCTCAATACATTTCCTGGCAAAAAGCCCAAATGTTTCAAACTAGTTTATCAGAAGGACGATTTATATGCTGTTCATCTTAGTTCCCTCTTTGTGAATTTCCTAGCCACCTGGTACTGCCATGTTGTACAAAAAGGATTCCCCAATGCTTGTATGCACTTCCATAGAATAATAAAATATACATTTAAGATTTATAGCTTGGATGCAAATATCCATTTACTGCAATAATTTCCTGTAAAATTAATGTAAACCTTTGTTGATTGGATTTACATGTCCTGTTAAACCACATTTGTTTAACTGTGGTTTATAGAATAAATTAAATTGGTTAGTAGCATACAAGCCAAGAGATAAACCATCCAGCTCCCAAAGAATGTTATGTTAACATTGGAACAACTGACAACTATTTAATCAATATTTTGTGCAAAATATTTTGCAATATTTTGTGCAAAGTCATAGCTAAAAAGAAGAGCAAAACACCAGCAACATTTTGGGGATGGTTTGTAATGTCCTAGTTACACCTAAATATGTGTGCTCCCCGTCTGTTATGTCTCACTGTTAGATGATGACAATGATAACCTAAAATATTGTCTTTGTTTTTGTGAAATGTATGAAAATCTTTGCAACAAGTATTTTATATTGGCACATATATTGGTACATATTTTGCAGGCTTCATACATTCCTTTTAAAATAGCTTTTGTTTTTATATATATGTAATATTATCAGTTTACTGCTAATTGCATTTTTATACCACACAAACTGCTTTGATCTCATTAAAGAAAAAGATTTGAAATGTTTAAAGTATATTAAATCTTAGTTATTGGGGAATATTGAGATGCTTAAAAAATAAGCACCCTCTTTAGACCAATACAAAGTTTGGATAGTGAATTATTAAAAAACAAGTTTCCTTTAAGGCTATCATGAACATCATAGTTTGTTTGTATTACAGTATCGTCCCGGGCGGGATCCTCAACGAGGCTCTGATAACGTCTCCAACAAGTCTTCAGACAGTGATGTCAGTGATGTATCAGCAGTCTCGAGAACCAGTAGTGCATCCCGTTTTAGCAGCACTAGTTATATGTCTGTGCAGTCAGAACGGCCAAGAGGAAACAAGAAAATTAGGTAAGAAACTACAAGTCTGCTTTAAATTTGTCTTCCATGTATTGAACTGGATCCTAGTAACATCTCTTCCAGTTACACTTTCTGAAATGTCAGGTTAGCCTTCTGTGTTAGAGTATTTATTTACATTCAGATACTTTGAAAGTAGGTAAGTTACTTACTTTCAAAATGAACTGTTTACTAGAAATTAACACTATAGGGCAGTTTAAAATAATTTTTTTGGATTATAATACCAAGTCATGTATACATCTTAATGACTGCATTTAATAAATTTATGTCATAGAAGTGTACGCTTCGTGAAGGTGTTCCTAAAATAGACCACTTCTAAAAACTCCCTCCCCCCTCAATACTGCTTTAATTGTGTCTGTAGAAGAGCCAGATTGTCTCCATGTGAACCAGAATATTGCAGGGTCAGGGTTCATGAGTTCATGAGGCATTATGCGCGCTGTGGTATGTACCTTAACTCTCCTTTTGCAGACAAGAGAATATCATTTAATTGATGTTGGTGCACAGTTATAGATTGCACAAAGCTATAGAACAGAACTACACATTTGGATGTGTGTTTGTGTACACACAGATTCATAAGTATTTTTATCCTGCAATTTAAAGAATATCTGTGCAAATTATTTTTGCCATTTATGCTATTAAAAATATCATTTTTAATATACCATTTGCCAAAATGCCATTTTCCCATTTCTGCTCTTAAAAATAATAGACTCCATCTTAATTAGTTTATAGAATCAGGCTGCATATTTTTTCACTCATCGTTGCTATTTAGCTTTTTTTTCTTTCTTTTTTTTTGGCTGTCCTCCCCCTGTCCCCCTCAACTCAGTAAATGTTTGGATTCTGTCTAGTTTTCCTAACTAGCTTCTGTCTTCTTTTTTCATTTGCTTGCATGCTTCCTCAATTTTTGTTAACCTCAGAAGATCACATGAGGAAAGAAAAGAGGGAGGGGAGGAAGGGGATGGGGAAATATTCCTTGAGAAAGAAGAGGAGAATCAGGAACTGGAGAAAAAGTTGGATGAACAAGATGATGAAAAGGGGGAAGGGGAGGAGGTGACAAAGAACTGTGATGAGGAAGATAAAGAAGATAAAGAGGATGAAGGGGCCCAGGAGGAGATAACTGAGGAAGGAACAGAAACAAGAAATAAAGAGGATTTGCAAAGGAGATACTCACAGGATGATCTCAGGTAAAATAGATCTCCATTTATTAGAGAGTTATAATTTGCAGCAGCTTCTTTGTGTTCCCTTTCTGTCTCCATCATTCTAAAATTTCAGCATAGTATTTTAATAATCAACCAATACTCTATTTAGTTAAATTCTTTTGCAAAAGAAATAACAAATTACAGACATTTTGCCCATTTTGTATAGTACCGAAATTAAGGTCTTCAATTGGTTGATCTTGGTTCAAATTTAAGCAGGAATTCATTAGATATGTTTAGAAACACATTAGTAAAAGTGTTGTTAGTTCTTAGATTTTTGTCATATTAACAGAATTCTGTCATACCAATGTATTTCAGGATATATGGGTAGAAAGTTCTGGAGCTATGTAGATATGATTCTTTGGATAGAAATGGACATTGATACGAGGAGCTTGAATTTCATTAATACAAATCTCATGAAGAAAATACAATATATTTTTCTTTCTTTTTCTTCTCACAAGGGAATAATTTTATTAGTGAGGATTATAATAGGTTATTTTAACCATCCATTATTTAATGTATGTGCAGAGTCTTGTGGAAACTGAGGGAATATGCTATAAAAGTTCTAAGTACTATTAATGCTATTATTAGTTTTATTCATTTTAAAACTTTCAGAAATAGAGATATTATTACAGGTTTTGTTTTCTGAACTTGAGCTTTTTCACAAAATTACAGAATCATAGGTTCTCTAAGGCACCAGTTAGGCCATTGAATCCAAAACTCTGTTGCATGCAGTAATTAAAATTGAAATAACTTTGATGTTTGAATGCATCTATTGATGGTGAACCAACCATCTCTCTGGGTAATTGGTTCAACTGTTCAACTGGACTTTACTGTTTTTTCCCCCTAACGTTTAGTTGAAAACTGCCTTTCTGTAACTTAAATACATTATTTGGTGTCCCACAATCTGTTATAATAGAGTTTCTTCGGTGACATTCTTTCAGATATTTGAAGAGTGTTATCGTAACTCTCTTGTTCCTCAGTTTCTCCTTGTAGGACTTAGTTTCCAGTGTGGGATCATCCTTGTTGCTGTTTTCTAAACCTGTTCCATTTTTGTCTGAATCTTCCTTAATTTTTACTGCTCAGAACTAAATAAAATACTAATACTGACCAGCATAAGCATGGAGTGGAATTATTACTTGTGATTTGGAAAATAGATTTTTATTGGTGTAACCTAAAATTGTGTCTGGATTATTTTTTAACCACATCATCCTACTATAATTGCAAAATCTTTTTCAGATATTATTGATGACCAGCTATCTCTTGCCCTATACTTGATTTATTTTTCCTAAGTGAAGACCTTTGTTAAATCTCATTCTGTTGCTTTTATCCTATTTTTCTAACCTATCAAGATTATTTTAAATTTTACTTCTGTGTTGCAGGCTATTAGCTTTCCTACCCAGTTTTGTGTCCTCTACAGATTTGATAAATATTACTTTCACCTCTTTATTCAAGCCGTTAGTAGAAGTGTTGTAGAATACAGGGTTCAAGTCTGGACATTGTTGCACCCGCTTGGTATCTCCCTTCAGTTTGATGAAGAACCACATTTGAGCACTTTTTCAGATCACACAGGCAGAATACAAGCTTTTCTTTCACTACTACACTTCTTCTTTATTTACTTCTAGGAAATACAGAGTTTGTTTACAAATGGTTTATCATCAAAATTTGGTGGCAGAGTTTGCTTCCAATGTATAAAACTATATAAATATAGAGAAGAAATATGCCTAGCTATCACTGAATTAAATATCTTTCCTTAATATGTATAAACATTTAGAAATAATTTCCACGAATTGGTAGTATTTCCCAATTAATAATTGCTATATAAGATCAGAGTGTAATATATGAATAAATCTCATCTGGACATAATGTTTAACCATGACTTATTAATAATCCTCCCATCTATTCTTCTTTGATAAGAAGGAAGAACTTCAAAACTTCTGTTTCAGATTAACTATAGCATGTTATGATATTCACACTGAGGAAACTGTACTTAGTCATCAAAATGAATTATGAAGCTGATTTATGTCACATAACATTAAGATTAAAGTTATCTTAATATCTGTTCAGGATGCAGATATGAGCTGAATTCAAATAATAAGATACTGTACAGCTAATCATTCTTTTGGTTATGCTGGAAATACAAATGGAAGATGGGAATGCCTAATCTTATACATATAATAATATACATTGCTTATTTTGGAATCAGAATTATTTTTAAAAAGAGATGTAAGCATTTCAAACATTACAGCTTTGTAACTATTTCACTTACCATGTGTCCCACATGCATAATTCCCAAATATATAAGTTTAGGATTTTGTATTAAAATTTTAAGATTGGAATGCAAGTTATAATTTGAATGTTGATTTCTAAATCATATCACGGCAGAATTTGACATCTTAACAGCTATCTTCTGTTTAACCTTCTCCTGGTTCTTTATGGCTATTGGGAAACATGTCCTGTTTGACAACTGCATTACATCTGCATTTTAAAATAATGTATGTTCTATATGTGTGAAAGGCCTTATACAATATGTCTAGTTTTTAACAAAGTAGAAAAAATATATTTGCATTAGGGGCTTTACAATACATACATATAGGAACATGTAACAGAGCCCTAATGGCATATTTTAAAATGAAATGCAGGTTTGGAAAGTGTGGATTTGTAGCAGAGAAACGGCAGTAGAGAACATGACTGCTGCTCTCTTATCCCTCTTCCTCTCCCTCTCCAGTGGAAAAGAAGTAGTTGGGCTTAACTGTACTGTTTTTACTCAGAATAGAATCTCTGGGACATAAGAATTGGCTGTGGAAATAACTGGAAAGGAATGCATGATGCTTGGGCTGGGAATTTAAAAGCAGAGTATGGCCATTGGATAGCATAAAAAAGAGAAGAAATGACAGGAGGTATGAAGGAAATTATCAAGACGTGCATGGCCAAATGTTTCTTGGGAGATAGAAGGCTACCAGAATCCAGAAGGCAGGAGCAGAAAAGATTTGAACCTAGAAAAAAGGAATATCTCTCAATCAGTGCACATAAAAGAACCTGTAAGATAGTTACATTTATTCTATTTCATTTTTGCATGCTTCATTCATTGTATTTACAGAACAATTTTTTTAAGTGCAAAAAGTTTTGTATCCTATTTTTCCTATTTTCTACATTTTTATTTATTTGGTTTTGTTTGCAACTTTCTATAATCATAATTCATATGCATGATTTGAGCAAAATCTGGAGAACTGTGAAGTTTCAAGGATAATTTGTTCCAGCCTACATAGTTTGAGAAGCTGAGATTAAATTCTAAAATCCATAACTGAGACTAGCTTAGACAGCAGCATGAAAAGAAAAGTAGATGTGCATCTATCTTCAACTGATCCTGGCATAATACTGCCTCCTCTTTGGGACGTCCAGCATTTGATGTGAAACTACTGCTTGTTGCTGGAAAGCTTATAGTGTAAGCTTTATTAGGAGTGTTTTCACATATGATGCAAATATAT